AGCTGGATATGAAAAGTGCAACTTTCCCGCCCTGGGAGGATAGAGAAGAGGGGGTAAAACTGCTTGCAGGTGGGTATTTAAGCAGAAGAAACCTCCTTGGAGAGGAAAGATTGCTTTTCTGCCGGAGCTGCTGCGTGCTTGAGCAAAACTGCACTATCGTAGGAGACAAACGTTGTGAGCTTGTTGAGTGGGTTTTAGAATCGTGAGCCGAGTTGTTCAGTTGAACTTTTCTTTACGTAAAAGGAAATGGAGGCCTCAAGAAAATCAGTGTTGGTTCCCTGGAGGTTAGAGCCTGCGTGAGCACACATCTACGAGCACATATCTACGAGCACGTATCTACGGGCAGAGTGACCTGAAGGCCTTGGAGCAGGGAGCCGAGGGGGGTAGTGTGGGGTGTTTCCTGGGTATAAAAACCTGGATCAAAAGGGCAGACGTTAAAAAGACTTCCTTAAAGTCGTAGGCCTATTTTACTGCGTGTAAACACCCTGTGGTGTACTGGAAAATCTTTTTTTTTTTTGGGTACGGCACTTGCGAATCATTGACATTGCTTTGAAAGGGTTTGAACTACAGCTGATGTCTAGGACAGTGGTATCTTGGATGCCTCTTTATTTAAAGGATATGTTGTGCTTTATGGACGAGTCGGTGAGAAAAGCTAATTTTCTTTTTTCTCTCTTCAGTTATCTAGTCAGAGTGAAGTCATCACAAGAGTCGTTCAGAGACTGTGTGAAAAAAGAAAGAAGAATATCCTTGCATATGGATACTCCTTACTGGATGAAAACAGTTCTGATTTCCAAATCATGCCCTCTTCAAATATATACAGCTACCTACCCAATACTGCGACAGAAACTATTCGTATCAGCGGCCTCTGGGAAACACTGCTCAGCAGGATAGGGGATGATGTGATGATGTATTTGTTGGAACACTGTGCGATCTTTATGCTGGTTCCTCCTAGTAATTGTTATCAAGTTTGTGGGCAACCAGTTTATGAACTTATTTCACATAATGTAGACTCATCCCCAGTGTTTGTTAAACAGAGGTTTTCAAAGCATCAACGTAGTAGCTTGCTTGACTATATGCGAAAAAGGCTTCTGTTTCATAAAAGGTATCTTTCAAAGTCACATTGGTGGAAATGCAGACAAAGGCTTGAAACTGATGTCTCCAGCATGGGAAATAAAAAAAAAAACAAGATACAAAGCTTAATGTCTGGTTGCCAGTATTCTGCAAAAGGTGTTTCTAAAGCAAGCAAACAGATCAGAATGGTTACTGAACATCTGGAAAAACAGACTAGCTCCAGTTTATGTTTGTCAGCTATGGCACCGTCTTTAAAAAGGAAGCTTGATAGGGAACAACTTGAAATTCCAGCTAAGAGAGCAAAAGTAGAGGACAAAGTGAGAGAGGAAAAGGCATGTAATTTCACTCCTGATGTAAATCAAAGTAGTTCCAAGAGGTACGGAGCTGGGTATGTAGCATCGCATTATGTAAGTCTCATTAAAAACCCCCACATTTCTGAAAGAAGTAACAGTGATGTGTCTGGTCCTTCTTTAGTTCACACGTCTCGTGACAGGAAGGAGTTTGTGGCAGGTGAAAGCTCTTTCCTGCAAGGAGTTCAGAGTAACAAACCTTTAAAGTCCAGCATTGAAGTGCAAGCAGAATCCCATAGGAAGGAAGTAGAGATGCATGTGTCTAAATCTCAGTTGGATTCTGTACAAATAAAACCCACAGTGGGTATTTCATCAAAATGCAGAAGGCGGGAAAGTCCCCTAGCTCATTTGGCAAAGAAGTTACCAAACACGCTCTTGCGTTCTGCAGTGTATATTGACAGGAAGCTGCTTCTCTATTCTCGGAGGAGTTTCCAAGAATGTTTTCCTAAATCGTTTTTATTGAATCGCTTGCAGGGCTGTCGGGCAGGTGGAAGACGGCTGATAGAAACTGTATTCTTAAGCCGAAATCTGTTGGAGCAAAAGCGCAACCAAAGTCTGGCACATCACAACTGGAGAAAGAAGAGGTTGCCCAAACGCTACTGGCAAATGAGACATACGTTTCAGAAACTGGTGAAGAACCATGGAAAGTGCCCTTACTTAGTTCTCTTGAAAAAAAATTGCCCTGTCTGGATATCTGAAACCAGCGTGAGAAAAACTGAGCTGCCTTGTCAGGCAGCCGTGCCTGGGAAAGCAGAGGTTCATCAGCAAGCACAACAGTTTGGGAAGGAGCCTACTCAGTGTGTGACAAGCAGCAGATGTGAATCTGGCCGCACTGGTGTGCCAGACAACTTGCGCGCTCCTCTTGCCAAATCTGTGCATGGGGAGTCGCAGAGTGAGGAGCAAAACCTGGGAGAGGTGTGTGATTCAGCCCTCAGGGAGCTCCTCAAGCAGCACACCAGCCACTGGCAGGTGTACATCTTTGTGAGGGAGTGCCTGGAGCGGGTCATCCCCGCTGAGCTTTGGGGTTCAAACCACAACAAGTGCCGGTTCTTAAAAAATGTGAAAGCATTCATTTCCATGGGGAAGTTTGCTAAGCTTTCATTGCAGGAGCTGATGTGGAAGATGAGAGTGAATGACTGCATGTGGCTTCGTCTAGTCAAAGGTACTTCTTAAAGAACTAAGTGGTGGGGGTGTCAGATGTCTGGTGTTCATGTTTAAGGTGGGAAGGGGAGGGGAGGGTATTGAATCCGAGTTCAGTTGTTGGGTTCATTGGTAATAACCATGGCTGAGAGGAGCAAACCTGGTCGCTCACCATCTGTCAGCTTGCTAGAGCCATTCTCTAGGAATGGGACACCCTTCCTGAGCATTGCTTCAGGCTGGGTAGCTGGTGGTGCAGAGGTCAGCAGACTGAGTGGTGGTCCCTGACTGAAAGCTGTCACGAGGGCATCAGCTGATTGCTCCAGATTCTTCTGTTCGGTTCTCTTTTCAGATGATGACAGGTAAATCTTGCTTCCTTGAAGAAGTCTTTCTTCAGACACTATCCTCGCACTTTAGGCTGAAGCTGTTGTTCTTTGGTTGATTACTGTAGGATCTAAGGCATGTTGTCATTTTTCTGTGCTTCCATTCTCCCATCTAGGCAATGTGGATTGCACTTTCTTAACTGGTATGTTTGCAGTATTTATTCTTAACCTGGTGATGTACTTGGATCCTACAGTAATGTGAGCTGGAAATGGTATTCCTTTTCAAAAGCTGTAATAAGGTTCTGAACTTACTACAGGTTCTTTGTAATGTAGGAGGAAAATAAAAAGGCTCATGTTTGAGAACTGATGTCAGAAATTGGGGAGGTCACATTTCCATAAGAAACTGTTAATTCTAGCAAATCTGTTGATTCTTTATTCAGAAACTATGTCTTAACATGATTTTCAAAATGCTGAGGAGTTAAATGCTTTTAAAAAAAATTTGTAAAGTACACTTTGGTTCATAGTTATTTGGAACATCTTACCTTAAAAAATGTAATACCTTCTTATTCTCTGGCCTTATTCTAGGAGAAGCAACACACTAGCTTGATTTTAATTTTAATGAAACTACTCCCTTGTGCTTCAAGTCTAAACACACATTTAATTGCTTTGCTGCACTGTAGGTGTTTCGGGTTTTTTGTTGATTCAAAAGTGGTAGTAGTGGTTTCTTGTCAGTTTCCTGAATTGCAGTCATCATTTACATCTGTTGTGAAGAGCTTAGAAAACAAATTATCTAGTTCCAGGACAGCTGCTTAACAACACTCTGATGTAATTTGTGCATTACAACTGCATAATGCAACTCTTCAGTTAGAGAATTTTCTAACAATCATTGGATTTTTTTCATTGATGTTACCTGGCTTCTGTTGAAGTGAACACTGTTTTATCTCTTCATGGTAGTCTTTTCTTAGGTGCTGTAAATACATGAAAATGTCTCCGCCCTGAAGCACACAAAAACCAAACAGGGTAGAGAACTGGAAACTTACTTCAATTTTATAAGTTTCAGTTTTAAGCCTCAGCTCTGTTGTGTCAAAATTAAGCTATTTTTAACACATTTGTGCCATAATAGTGATTTGTGCTATGCAGCTAAACTAATATTTCTGTATGATTTCTTTAAATTATCCTCTTGTGTTTTACTAAATTCAACTCTTTAATTAGAAAAAGTGTTATTGGAAGTTGGCAAAAATTCAGTATTGTAGCACAGGGTTTTATTCATAGAATCATAGAATGTTGTGAGTTGGAAGGGACCCACAAGGATCATGAAGTCCAACTCTTGCCCTAGTATAGAACAATCCCAAGATTAAGACCATTTGTCTGAGGGCACATGTTGTCCAAATGCTTCTTGAATATTGTCAGGCTTGGTGCCATGACCACCTCCCTGGGGAGCCTGTTCCAGTGCTCCACCCTCTGGGTGAAGAACCTTCTCCTAATGTCCAACCTAAACCTCCCCTGGCAGATCTTCCTGCCATTTCCTCTGGTCCTATCACTGGTCGCCAGAGAGAAGAGATCAGGACCTGCCCCTCCTCTTCCCCTTGTGAGGAAGTTACAGACCGTGTTGAGGTCTCCTCTCAGTCTCTTCCAGGCTGAACAATCCAAGTGACTTGAGCCTCTCCTCATGTGGCTTCCTCTCTAAGCCCTTCACTAATTTAGTGGCCTCCTCTGGACACTCTCCAATAGCTTTATATCCTTTTTATACTGTGGTGCCCAAAACTGCCCCCAGGACTCAAGGTGAGGCCGCACCAGTGCAGAGCAGAGCAGGATGATCACCTCCCTTGACCGGCTCACAGTGCAGTGCTGGATGCAGCCCAGGACATCCCAGGAAGTTGGTCCTCTTGCCAGCCAGTGCACACACATATTTAGACATCACTACAAATCTATGCGGCCTTAAATTTGACAGTAGCTAGGAATGTTTTGGGTTCATAAGTTTTGTGCCATCTAAATAAGTGCTGATGGACTTCGGGTGATTTTTTTTTTCTTTTTTTTTTTTCTTTTTTTTTTAACTGCAGCAATAAGTTTTATATAGGATGCCTGTAATAAAGCCTAACCCTGAAATTAATTTTCATGTAATTGGGAAACCTGAATATCATTCTCATCCCCAAGTCATCCCAGTTTAATTGTTATTTTTACAATATACCTAAGTATTTTCATTCTTTTGCTTTTTTTTTGTTTTTAGAGTTTTATATTGTAGTAGGCTTATTTCCATTTTACCTGTCCCTTCACAATAATCTTGCAGTTGTGCATTGAATGTCTTGCACAGTCAACGTTGGGGGAAGAAAGTCAGTCTTTGGGCTACTAATGGCATGTATTCGTATCCTGTACGTCAGTTTGTCACTGCAGATTAGTTTCTGTGTTTGTACTTTAAGCTTGGGTCGGCCACGTTATTTAATACCAGTGAAAATTTGAAGCAGCATCTGTGCAGTTGTTTGTATTTGCTTTTTTTCCTTTCCATTAACCTCAAGCTAAGAAAAGCGTTGTGTGGGGTTTTTTGTTTGTATGTTCTGTTTCTTTGCTAATACAAAGATTTGATACTTACTGTAACTACCTTTGAATTGTTTATTGAAGGTGATCACTTTGTTCCTGCCTATGAACATTGTTTCCGTGAAGAACTTCTGGCTAAATTCCTGTACTGGCTGATGGGTACCTATGTTGTTGAGTTGCTCAGGTCATTTTTCTATATCACCGAGACCATGTTCCAGAAAAACATGCTTTTCTACTACCGAAAGTTTATTTGGGGCAAGTTACAGAACATTGGAATTAGGTAACGTTAGAAAAATAATCAAACATTAATGGAATATGTGGAAATCTCATGTTTTGTACTGTAAAGTTATAATTCTGCTTTCATTTATTGCCCATTTATCCTTCTTTTATTTGCTTAATTTCCCAAAAGAAAATTCCACCTGTGACTGTAATATACACAGCTTGTGAATTCAGAAATATTTTGTGTGAGAAAACTGGTTCAAATTAATAATCCTTGGGTAGGAGAAGAGAAACCTTTGCAATAATTAAATCCATAATGAAGAGGATTTTGTTTTGATAAGTCAGTTTTTTACACCTTTTAACAATGAGTAAAGCATAGTGACAGAATCCCAAAGTAACCTTGGGAAAGTTAATTTAAAAAATATTTTTCTTCAACTGCTTTATTTTAAAAAACAAAAACAGACCTCTGCTGAAATGCTGTAATACTCTATTCATAAATTCAGACAGTAGCTGTGTGGTTTTGGTTTGTTGGGGTTTTTTTAAGGTTGAGGGATTTAAAAACTGTAGCTTGTTTTTTAGTGCAGCTGTGGAATTCCATGCTGCTTTTTTATGTCTTAGAAATGCATGCATCTAAATTTGCATTCTCCCTTCTGAAGGGATTTGAATTGTGTCACTTCACTTCCCAGGGGAGCATCCTAATCACTAGGCTATAGGGCTTTTTGGAAGGGCACATTTTGTCCTTCTGAAGCAATGCAGGAGATTGATCCAGGTCTTTTACATTGCAAGTAGGCCACTTTAACAATAATAATCTTAAGTAAAAACAAGGGCTTTTGCACGGCCTCCTTTTCCTGCCTCATTGCATGGGAAAGCATTGATTTGGACTAAGCTACACTGAACTGTAAATACTGAGGGCGTATCTTGAGGGCGAAACACATTTCCTGGTGAGATGGACTTAGGAAGCTCAGAAGCTCTGACTTTGGAGTCTTCTGTTCTTCGTTATTCTCTGCTGTTCACCTTGGCTGATGCCTGTTTAGCAGAGAGGTTCTTTTGAATCATGTTACTGGATACCTGAACGCCCTTATGTTGTATATATATCCTGGTATCTCAGTTCAGTATAACTGTTAATAGTACATCCCCAAAATGTTGGGAGTAGAATAGCCCATTAGAGTGTGAAGTCCTTCCCTAGATCTTTCCTAACATAGTTTTCTATTCATAGAATCATAGAATGGTTTGGATTGGAAGGGACCTTAAAGATCATCTAGTTCCAACCCCCCTGCCATCAGCAGGGACACCTTCCACTAGAGCAGGTTGCTCAAAGCCTCATCCAGCCTGGCCTTAAACACTTCCAGGGAGGGGGCATCCACAACTTCCTTGGGCAACCTGTTCCAGTGTCTCACCACCCTCACAGTGAAGAATTTCTTCCTAATATGTAATCTAAACCTCCCCTCTTTCAGCTTAAACCCATTTCCCCTTGTTTTGTCATTAGTTGCCCTTATGAAAAGTCCCTCCCCAGCTTTCCTGTAGGCCCCCTTCAGGTACTGGAAGGCCGCTATAAGATCTCCTCAGAGCCTTCTCTTTTCCAGGCTGAACAGCCCCAGCTCTTTCAGCCTGTCTTCATAGGAGAGGTGCTCCAGCCCTCGAATCATCCTGGTGGCCCTTCTCTGGACTTGTTCTAACTGGTCCATGTCTTTAACTTTGTTAATGTCTTTCAAGCTCTGAAACTCTGAGAAATAATCCGACTTTCTGTTGTCTTGTATAGAAAATATTTCATAAAGTTCAAATATACTCGGCTGATCTGTGCTTAAATTTTCATTTGTGTTAATTAAGTTTTTTTAAATTATCTTAATTTGCACCAAGCAGAGATGTGTGCTCTCTTATTATTGTATTACATTGTCACTGAGATACGGTGAAATTGTTCTGAAATTCAGATTTTTGTGTCACTTTCTGCAGAGGTTAGTATTCATAATTATCTTCTTATTAAAATATTGACTTCACTTATTATAAAGAGATTACATGCTTTAAGTTACCTCCTTTCCTATTGCTGACAGTAAATCTGTATTTGTATTTTAGAAACCATTTTGCCAAAGTACATCTACGTGCTTTATCTTCAGAGGAGATTGAAACTGTCCGTCAAAAAAAAATTGTTCCTGTGGCATCAAAGCTCCGGTTCATTCCCAAAGCAAATGGGTTAAGACCCATAGTTAAAGTGAGCGGTGTTGTTGAAGCACGAGCATTCAGCAGGGAAAGCAGAGAAAAGAAGGTTTTTAATTTCTTTATTGTTTTCTGTGGGTTTGATGTAGGCAGCTAATAAAGTGAGTGAGGTTTTCTGTGTTACATAAAACTAGCTCTCATGTGGTGAACTGGATCATTCAAATCAGAGTGACTGAATCAGAGTGACCTTCTGCAGCTTAGCTTCTCCCTTCCCAGTGCTTAATTACCATTAGCTTCCAATTCCAAAATCATGTATTTCTGTTTGCCAGCCTGTCTTAAGGAAATGATTCTGTATCAGAATGGCATGGCCTCTCAGGTAATCATGTTTTCTCTCTCTTTCCATGCCTTTCCCTCAGGCATGCTAAGTCTGTCTGGTTGTGACAGGCATTGGCCACCTATGGGAGCAGAAGGATAGAAGTCTCGAAGATACTCAGTATTCTGAACTAATGTGTCATATTTGTTTGTCACACGAGAGGGTGAGGGATGGATGGGTGAGTCCAGCTTGTTGGGATTTACCTACATACTGATGGTGCATGTTCATCAGCTAGTTGGCTCTGCTGCCAGGTCAACCCAGGGGGTCTGAACGGGGAATTGGATGTGTTACAGAAGAAGGTCTAAGAAGAGCGAAGAAGTTGGATCAAGCGTAGCAGGGAGATGGGAAGGAAGCTGGGAATTATATCAGTGTGGGAGCAGAGACAGAGCATGCAGTGCACAGAATAATCTATTTAACAGGCTGGTTAACCACAAGACATAGTGGGAACTCAGTTTCACTATCTTGCATAACTGCATTAATTGTTTTTCCTTAAGGCTGAGTCCCATTTAGTGCACAAGATTAAATGTTCTCCAAATGAGTGAGAGGTCAATGGCTCCTTAGTACTTACTGTTCAGTATGTGATCCCAGACCAGATTTTCAGGGCATCAACTAAAAGCTGTTCTGAAATGTTATTTCTTCCTAGTCTTTCTGTGACAATCAGAATGCCAGATTTGAGAGTATGCACACAGTTAATTTGGAAATAGCAGCAGTGCTTTAATGGTGCTTTAATAATGCTCCTGTAACAGATCTATCATAAAGGATGACATGAATATACTGAAGAAGATGAAGGTTCAAAGTCAACCATGGTAGCTGGTCAAGTGGTTTGAGCTAATCTGGCTCCCCTGGACCTGAGAGGGAGTATCTATATCTGCTGAAAAGTGCAAGCAATAGACTTCTGTTGGAGAATGCTGACAAAAAACAGGACACTAAGTTTTTCAGCTGTTAGACAGACCTCTGTCCAAACTGATCACAAAGCATAGCTCATGATTTTCTTAAAACCATGAAAGAGAAGGTGGTGGTAATGTTACTTCTCAGATAGTAGGCTGAGACAGAGAGAAGCATCTAGTGCAAAACTATCATCTTATTCATGAATTCAGGGCTTCCAACTAATGGAAGTGATGTGGTCTTTTTTGTTTTCTAGGTTTTGTTTTGTTTCAAAGATTTTTCGTATTTACTTTACATCCTTTTTCCTTTTTTGTTCAAACAAGTTTTTTGATTTTTTTATTTTTAATGGGAAACTCAAAGCACTGGGAAGCAGCAGGGTCCTGAAAGATCTGATTTGTCTTTTTTACTGCCTTCTGCAGAGATTCCAGCTGATCTTTAGGTTTTGCCAAAATGTTAACAACTGCAGATTAGATCTGTTCTGGGGAATTAAGAGGCTCGAGGGAATTCCTTCTAACGTGAAAATGAAGAGCTACTGTGAATACTGCAACTCCAGGTCTCTTGGGTCTTGTTCAAACTGAATTTGAAACCAGTCTTGGTTTTCTTTTATTCACTCAATTGCTAACACCCAGATGGCCATCAGCTTTGTGAGAAAGTGAAGGTGTGCTTTTTGTGAAAAAGCAGCCATCCTGGGATAGGCTCATTAAGAAGGAAAGAAGGAACTTTTCTTTGGATGATTTCTTTGATCTTGCTGTTTCTGTTTACCTTTGAGCTACATCTCTACCCTTTTGACTGTTTTTCTTGTGAACTTGGCTGTAACAGAAAAGATAGCACTGCAGTGATTCAGGAAAGCATCTTGATATTCAGAAATCTTTGTTTGATAAACTGGTCAAAAACATTTTGCAAGATCAGCCAATGAATGAACATAATTACTTACCATAAGTAAAACACCGAAGTTGGATCAAGCTGTTGTGGAGGCCATGGCAGTAGTACAATAAACATTTTTGGTGTGCTTTAGTTTTGCCAGTTTTTCACGGAAACCTCTGCAAAAATCAATGTTTTCAGATGGATTGGAATGCTTCCATAATTAATAGTTTCAGTGTATCCATATCATGATCACAATACTGCCATTGAGAGTAAGAAACCTTTAATGTTCTGTGTATACATTTTGGAGGATTTCTTTGAAGTTGTAAACTGATTCATAAGTGTGCTACGTGTGCGGTTTGTTTATTTTCTTCAGTAGCATGGTTTGCCCTTTCAACTTTCTTTTATTGCCAGGTCTGTCAATATTTTTTTTCCTCAGGGTGTTTACAGAGCTAATGAACCTGCACGACTTCATTGCCACTCTGCTGTATTTTATTATTCCCGTAGCTGAGAGTTAAATCTTTGTTAACATACTTGCATGAAGTACCTCCAGAGCATGAAGTGATGGCACAGCTGGAGTTAGCCTAAGTCTCGGGGCGTGTTCTTTTTGCTGCTCTTGTTGTGGTGATAATCTCCAGCAGAGAGACTGAATGATATTCAAGAAGTTACTTTCTAATTGGTGGCAGTTTTATTTGCTGGAGGCCATCTATTTATCTCCTTAACTTACTCCTTGATTTCCAAGAGTCAAGTACAGGAAAAACATTTTCCATAGGATTTAAATGTAAAAAAAAAAAGTAGTTACTGCAGCTATATTCAGGCTTTCTGAAAACTGCAGTTGACAAAAATAATAGATATAAATATACAAGTTTAATCTCATATTTCATTTAAATACAAAATCTGTGTATTTCGCAGAATTTAATATGTTTCAGCATACTTTAAGGTGATTCTCTCTGGTTTCTTTTTAGATGCATCACTATAACACTCGACTAAAAAATCTGTTTAGTGTGTTAAATTATGAACGGACTATAAACACCAGTTTTATTGGCTCTTCGGTGTTTGGCAAAGATGATATCTACAAGACATGGAAGAAGTTTGTTACGAAGGTTCTTGAATCAGATGGTGAAATTCCTCATTTCTACTATGTAAAGGTATGTCTCTTTGATTACACATTCAAGCAAACTTTTCAAAGTGAGCTTGTGCAGGTACTTTTATAGCTGTAATAGCTGTGATCTGAGTGCATAATTATTTCTTTTTAAAAATAAACTTTTGTGTGTACCTAATGCAGACTCTGGTTCAGTTTTTTTATGGGCGGGGTTTTGGTTGCTTTTTTGAAGGGGGGTGTGTCCCTGCAGTATCACTTCCTTTACTTGGATATTTTTCTGTCCATCTTTCAATCATGGAGCAGCTCTTGCTTCTGCACATGCATCGAATTTTTGCAGTTATATTTGCTTCAGTGTAAAAGTAGGACAAAAATATAAACTCAGATATGCTTTTAGGGCCTTCTTCCCAAAGGAAAACCAGGAAAAACTTGCTATGTGCATTTGTGTGAATTCAGCATCTTTTTAAAAATAGGTCTCTTCTATCTCAGTATCCTTAGTTTCTGTTGAAAATGAACACTTGAACTCTAGTGTCTCTCCAACAAGTTTCTTCTCCCACTTGAAAAAAATGAGTGCTTGTATCCCACTGTTTGAAGGAATTTCTTCTTAAAAATTTTGTTTTTCCGTTATGTCTAGCAGACAGTGTTTTGTGTGTGAGCTCAATTCACAGCTTTGAATTGGGGCAATTTATACACATGTCTATAAATTACACAGTTTTACATATATTATAGTGGGCCTTCTCTCCTGTGCTCTCATACGTCAGTTGTCATCCTGTCCTGAAATTACTTTCAGTGATTGTCTTACCTTTCAAGCCAGAGTCATGTCATTGACATAGTTCTTCTAAGATTGTTGCTTCTTCAGAATGTTTTGAATTTTGACTATGACAAGTAAAAGCAGAGTTAAAGTTGCAATATGAGGATTTAGGAAAAGTAAAAGCTCTGGGTTTGCAGCTTTCCAAAATCCTAAGATGCCAGCTCCATGATCATATGGAGAGGAAGGTTTCTTAAAATATTTAAACATATAAAAATGTCAGCAATAAAATTTAGTTGAATGATTGAAGGTTCAGGGTTAGATCTAAGGTTGCATATGGTATAATCTTTTATTAATAACAAGAATTGTGCTAAAACTGATGGTTTGGTTATCCCTTGTAAGGGAAAACTCATTGATGAGTGAGGAAAGGTTTTTCAGATAAGCATTGAAGTCACAAATTTGGACTGGATGGTGCATTAATTTCACTCCGCTGTGATTTATCCTTCAGTCTTACTGAGATACTACAATACTATTTTTTCATACTGCAACAGTGTTTACAGTGATACTGGTGAATACATAGTGGAAGATATTTCTTCTATTTCAGGCTGATGTGTCCAGGGCTTATGATACCATTCCTCACAATAAACTTGTGGAAGTGATTTCACGGATCTTAAACCCTGAGAAAAGAACCGTCTACTGCATACGGCGCTATGCTGTGATTATGATTACCACAAGTGGAAAAGCCAGAAGGTTCTATAGGAGACATGTATGACTTGCTGATTTCTATTTGCTGCTGTAGATATGTTTTGGTCCAAGGAGTATTTTTGTTTATAGCTTTTTTTTTTATAGTCACAATTTGAATTAAGCAATTACTTCATAAACTCTTTTTTTTAATCAGTGTTGGATATTTTCCAGCAGAAGCAAAGCTTCTTTTTACTCTATTTTTTACACTTTTTACTCACCATTAGTAAGAATAAAGATAAATGTGTCATGGAAGTAGAGATATGTGAGGAAGATTTTTCATTTTAACAATAGCAGAATTGTTGGATTAAAATAATGCAACTAGACTGGCCCTTTGACCTTCACTGAATAAAAGAGTCTGGTGCTGAATTTTCTATTGCTTTTGTAATTTATTTCTTTACACTCAAAATACAGGTTTCTACTTTCAAGGATTTTATGCCAGACATGAAGCAGTTTGTGTCCCAGCTTCAGGAGAATGCCTCATTGCAAAATGCAATAATAGTTGAACAGGTAAATATTGAGTGGCTTTTTTTCAACTGAAAAAGAAAGCTACGGAAGAACTAGAGGAAGACTGGGATTTTTAATTGCATGCACATATTATGTGGTGACACCACCTCTCTTCTAGTTACCCAGCACCTTCTGTAGAAAGATTTTTGTCATCTCTTTGATGTTTGTAACAGGCTGTCAGTGTTCAGTGGAAGGAGTGTACCCGACAAAAGATCTGACAAAATCTCCTTCTAGACTTTTCCCAGATTTTCTCACTGTTTGTGAGATCTCACTGTTGTCTCAAACTTTCCTTTTAGACAGTGTTTTCTTTTTTCTTTCCTAAGTCCATTGTTTATTGCAACAGTTCTTAAGTGAGAAATTAGTACAGAAGGGCTTCAACACTTCCTAGGTCCAAAATACAGAGAAGTAAGAATGAGCAAAATGTATTCTAAATTAAGTAGCTAAGGAAATAGATGTGGCATCTTGAATAGCAAATTGCACAGAATAGAAAAATGGCACTTTTTTTTTTTTAAAAAAAAAAAGCTTATTTTAATGATTACCTGCCAAGGTCAATAAGAACAAACGCTTTCTTAGAAGAGTTAAAAAGCAGCACGAAACAAGATTAACTCTTCTATTTTTAGTTTAAAGAGTTTTCTCACTTTCAGTGAATAAAAGTACAGTTAAAAATGATATGTATTTTAAATTTACTCCAGCTTCTGTTTTTGTTGCAAGAAACAAGCATCCTTCTGTTGTTCTAATTCTTGTGCAGCAGAGAGCTGTACTAATTCCAATTGTTTGTTCTCAAGACTTCTTTCTGTGCAATGAGCATGACAGAGAAAGGCCTAGAAGTAGATTATATGCTCAATCAGATTTTTTAATACATTTTATTGCTTGGTATCATGGTGTTGTTCCATGATAACAACCTACAAGATTCCCATGCATCAGATGACCAGACAGGTATTTTCTCACAGGCTACTTCCTCTTTACATTTTTTTTATTTTCTAAACTTGCCAGTGGAAAATTTTGACATAGAGTAATTTATGCTTCTAACATACAAGTAAAATGATCTTGTGTATCTGTGGACATAGGAGTAGGATATACAGTGTGGGTGGTACACAATTCCAGGATCCTACAAAGTGCAGAGAGCCTAATGAGTGCATGGATGAAAATGAAAACTAGCTGGATCTATGGTGATGCGTATGTAGGTTTTGTTTTGTTCTTTTTTTCCAGTGGACATCTGATTTAGATAACTATGCTAAATATTGTATGAACAGCAGCATGCTATTTCAAAATATTTTGCATTTGAAAACAATTTGTGTGTGTGTCATTACTTTAAAAAAAAATACTGAGAAAAAGTAACATGTCAGCCTGGTTATCTGCACCACAGGTGCATCGTGTTAGCATTTCAGTACAAATAACCATGATCTTGCATAGCTCTATCAAAAGCTGAATGCGTTTGTCTGATCTATGCAAATAGGAAGTAATTTTGCTTTAATTCTCATGGAGTCATTGTTAAAGGGATTTAAATGTCTCTAAATTATTTTTTTTATTATGTAATTTTTTACACAAAAAGCTTTATAAATATTAGGTCGACAGTCACATACGAAATTGTTGGTAGTATGTGACAAAGAATGGGTTTTGCAGCAGAACTGGCAAGTGAGTGTATTTACACGTGGGGAATCATGAAGAACATGACAGATACAGAAATTGTCCTGCAAGATAGAAAGTGACCAAAAGAACAAGGTCTCATACATTGTAGTAATCCAATATAATATACCAGCACTTTAAAAAGTGGTTTTAGATGTTATATTTATGTTACATACATGTAACACCGATCAAAACTGCTTTTCTCCTACAACAAAACAAAAAAGAACTGTACCATTCGCTTTTTTAGTGCAGCTTTAGAGCAGCTTTTTAGTGTGTATGTTGAGGTCTCGCTTTTCTCCTACAACAAAACAAAAAAGAACTGCACCATTCACTTGTTGGATGTGAGCAGCTTTTTATTGTGTATGTTGAGGTCTCAGTGTTTGGTGTTTTGTTTCTTACCTTAGCGGTTTGAACTACTACAGTCTCACTCTCCATAAAAAATAGTGAATCTTTTCAGGGTGGTGAGACACTGGAACAGTGTGCCCAGAGAGGTGGTAGAAGCCCCATCTCTGGAAACATTCAAAGTCAGGCGGGAGAGGACTCTGAGCAACTGATCTATCTGAAGATGTCCCTGCTCACTGCAGGGGCATTGGACTAGATGAGCTTTAAAGGTCCCTTCCAACCCAAACTGTGATTCTATGATTAAGGTTTCTGTGTATCTTTCAAGTTTACACTATATTTTTAGTTTCAGTACGTTTCTAAAGTACAAATCTTGTTTTGTTTTGTCCCATTTCTAGAGCTTAACTTTTAATGAGACAAGTTCCAGCCTATTTGCTTTTTTCCTTCAAATGATACATAACAATATCCTGGAGATTGGGAGCAGGTAAAAAAGAAGTTAGTTTTTCTTTGTATAGTGTTTGCTTCATTTTGGTTGCTTGTTACTCTCTGTTAAGCAGAATACTTTTAATTGGCTTTGGGGATTTTTGATAGCTCTCTTTTAAAGATTTTTATTTTGTGTTAATTTGAAATTTGTTTATCAGTTTAAGTTCCGTAAAAGCGTGAAGAGTTTGGAATCACATTTGTATTTGAATAGAATTTCTCTTTCCCACCTGGATTATGTTAACTATACACAGAGTGCATTATACTAAAATACGTAACCATCTTTATTTAAAACTGCAAATGTAGCTCAAAAAAAAAAATAAAAATAAAGTGTTGGAATCCATAGTGATGGACAAAAGCAAGGTAATATCCAAGCAATCCTGCAAAATCCTTATTAGTCATTTCCCTGTAGTGCAAAATTAAACCTTTTCTGCTGGAATTGCTATTTGGCAAGCTGCAATAAAAACAAAAGGCAATAACAATACGAATTCAAATTACTGGCAACTCCAAAACTAGGAATCAGATGTTATAAAGAGTAATAATGCAGATTTCTTCTTGTGTTGCTAGAAATGCTGATTTGGTATTTACATTTTGCCTTTAGGCAGCAGATGTGTGTACCATGTCTAGAAAGCAAGTACTTGGATGATTTTTATTTATAAATTCAGAGTGAGGTATATTAGAGTGAATAGCTTCTTGCTCTTGAAAAAATACCTTTATTTTAGAATAACTAACGTCACAGAATTGAGGGAGCGGGAGAAAAGCTTTCAAGGAGGCAAATAGAAGAGTGTTTATAGATTTTTCTGGTGTCTTACACTCCCTTTGTCAGGATCCTGAGAATGCTGACATGGCATGCCATTAATAAGGACTGACATCAGTATGTTTAATAACAGTTTAATGGTTTGAAGGAAACACACCCTGACAAAGCCAGTTTCACAGTTACATAAATTCAGTCACAGCTTGGCTGAAAAAATAGTTTGTCCTGGAATGAATTTGCCCTTTTTAAGTAGCTCATTCTCATTTGTTAAAAAAAAAACAAAACCCTCCAAAACTGCAAATGAGGTTAGTAAATGAATACATCTTTAACTGATGGTTCTCAAAAAGCCATTGCAGTTAGTCAACATTGACTTAATGTTTTGAGAAAAATGCTGATTGTTGAGCTGGGGACCTAGAAGGAATCATAATACCATTTAATACATTTACCAAAAGTCTGGAAAAATGTAATATTACTGCTATAAATTTTTCAGATGACTCAAAACATAGGTAAGATCTCTGCTAGAATGTCGTATGTGGCTTTAGTGTCCCGTTGCATAATTTAATTTTCTTCAGTTTCACTAAACCATTCATATATTAGTGGTAGCATGGACATTGTAATAGTACATCTCACTACTTCAAAGGAGTGTTGTGAAAATAATACCCTTGGGTTTTGTGGGGCATACTCGTTCTGTTGCTGCCAGCATAGAAAAATCCACAAGGTAAAAGGGGAGCCCTGTCTTCAGTACCATGTCTAGGTGTGATACGTTACTATTACAATGTGTGTTTTTACTGACTTTATACAGGTAACAAGATAGGGGAAGTATTAATGAACCTCCCCCTGGCTATGTCTAAATGAATTCTTTGAAGCCATGAGAAACAAATCAAGATTTTCTGTTTTGCAAAATGTCAGTGGGCAACTTCAGTGCACTTTTCCAGGGAGAGGAGGAGATTGAATATAATTACAAATAATAAGGATTAGCATTTCACAGAATGTAGTGGTTTCTCTTAATTAGAAGTAAGATAGCTTTATGCCTGAGCAGTTAAATGATGAAATAAATGTGATTTATAGTATAGCTGGGATGTATAAAACCAGATCACATGCTCTATTGTGCTAAGACATCAGAAATTTCCCTAAAAGTAAAGTGATACTAATTTGTGGAAAACAAAAAAAACCCCTCCAAATGCAAAAACACAAGAAAATATTTTCCTTAGCCAGATCATGCTATGCAAGTATAAACAAAGAATAAACACCTCAATTTAAATTATTGATGTAAATTATTTCATAGTTAAACATTTTTACTCTGACTTGTGCTGCTGAAAGAGGTTTTTTTTTTCCCCCAGGAAACTTAGCAAGAGTTAATAGTGGTGAACATTTATATTTGAATTTAATGTGGTTGTCTGCTGTTTCTGAGAAAGTTGGAAGTGTTCCATCTCAAAATTCATCTGAATTTAATCCTAATGTAGATGTACAGTATGAGCTTCAGCCTATGGATTTTTAGTGGACACCTGCTAGGAACTGTTTGGAAAATAATTAAAAATAAATGAATGATAGTTTGAAAGAGTTGTCCAGTGCACTTTGTTTCTTGTACAAGAACACTTGTTTTGAAGCTATGTAAGATGTAACATAAAGAATTACAAAGCTTAAATGAAGGGTGGCTCTGCATCTGAAGGGGGAAGGAGGCATTGGCATTTGAGGTCAATTATAACATTTCTTTTATTTAATGACAGTTGTCTACTGGAGTTTGTTATTAAGGAATATGTGTCTTAATGGTTTCTTTCACTGTTTAACTTAAACTTTCTGGAGCCGTGTGTAGATTCCTAGAGGAAAGAACAAACAAATTTAAGGAAGGCTGACTAGCAAGCATGTAGCGTATTTCTTATTGAAGCTTGAGGGTTATACTTGGAAAAAGAAAATAAATGTTTAATGGCTATTGAAATCTTCTTGTTGCATGTTTTGATTTTTTTTTTTAAATTCTTTACTAGGTACTACTTACAGTGCTGTGGAATTCCACAGGGCTCCATTTTGTCAACCTTACTTTGCAGCTTGTGCTATGGAGACATGGAAAACAAATTGCTCTGTGGAGTACAACAGGATGGGTAGGGCTGTTCTCTACTCTGTTACAGTAATGCATAACATAGAGTATGTATGTTGTTAGTAAATTTGTTTATGGTATATATAGTATAGTATATGTGTGACACTTTCTCTCAAGTTTAATTTTGAATCTCAAGGATTTACATCTCTCCATTAGGAAGTGTGGTGCACACAAAGATCTCTACAGTTTCAGTGTCACTGTGGTTGTTTTGTAGGGGAATTTCCCTGTTTGTCATAAGATTGTGAAGAAAAGTGCTCAAAAGAAGCTGTCCCAGATCTGTGGGTGGCAGACATGTTCTTACAGAGTATTTAGGGATGCTGTAAAGAGTCTGACAAGCTCTTCTACATGTAAGAAGTTTATGGTTCTTCCACACTCATTCCCACAAAACTTGTGCTCTTTTATCCTCAAACAAGATGAGATGTTCATTACAGGCTCACTGATACTTCAGGCTTCTGTCTGAGGGCTCTCCAATCCAGCATCTGTAAGCCTTAACATTTTGTCAAGGTCACAGCTTTATTGCAGGTGTTTACAAGTCATGTTGGTTCTTGTTTGAAGCTCTGTGTGGCTCTTTGTACATCTTCTACATGTTTGTGCTCATGCTTGCTTCTTAGGAACTTGACAGAAGACTAGTCTGGTAAAGCTCTACCTCTTTATTAGCCATAAAAACGTTAGGGTCCCTTTTATCTGCTACCAGCTGAATCCCAGATTAGGGTCTTTAGGCAAGAGCTAGACGTTGGTGAGCCCCCAGAAGCTTGTCTGTGTTCACACATCTCCCTCCATTGCTGTGAATTCTGTCCTAAGAAAGAAAACAGAAACTACGTCGTGTATAGGAATACTCTGGATAAGAGCATCTGCCTGGTGTCTCTTCTTGGGAGGCTCACAAGGTAATGTGAGCCTTGAGCCTGAAAGTCTCAGAATTTTAAACATTTCTCTACACAAGTAGTAGAGTTCTTATAAATACTAGGATGCTGTGATGATGTGAGTATAAACAGCTACCTTTTGCTTCCAAAGGATTTTGTTTATATATACTGAAATTATGAAACTGATTCAAAAGAATGAACTTTATATGTAGCAGCTGTTTTTATGTAGAGAAGGTTTTAGAATGTTACTTAGCTGTCTGTTGAATGATTTTGACAGATTCATTTGGCCTTTAAGGCAAAAAAAAAAATAACATGGCTATTGATTTGGCTTGGCAAAGCTGCAGCTGATTGATCACAGTGATGGCAGTACTTCTGCTTTGAAAAGGAGACTGGACAAGATAATCTCCAGAGCTTCCTCTCTGTGATCTGCTAGGCAGGATTTGTTAGAAAAATATGAGCATGCTTGGGACCTGAATTCTGTTGAAAAAGAAAATTCCAGCCTTTACAGGGGTAGACTGTTGTCTCCTACACTCAAGTTATAGCTTCACAAACAAGTTATTCCATGGTAAAAAAAGATACAGAATTAGAGCACATAAAGAATCCAGTATCTGTTTGTGTACCTGGTATTACACCTCCTTTCCTTGTGTTGTATATTAAGATACTGCAAATTCTCCCTTGGAAAAGTGTAAAACCCTGCATACAAGCAGCTACTGTGGGGTAGCTTGTGTGCTGTAAATTCCTGTCATGTTTGATGTAGCCAGCCCCTTTGCTCTCTCTCTTTTTCTTTTTTTTTTTTTTTTTTTCCATTTCTTTTTAGGAAAGAAGCAGAACTGAGAATTTCTTCGTGATACTTGATTTGGAGATCATATTGGACTCTACCTTCTTGTGAAAAAAAATGGGCATATTGTTGCTCTGAACAGTATGACAAAAATTTGAAAGGATTACATATCAAAAAATCTAACATCAGTTTCTTCTTGATTTCAGAGTCCTAATACGCCTTATTGATGACTTTTTGCTGGTTACACCACATTTAATGCAGGCAAGAACTTTTCTAAGGTATGTTGTTAAAGATATGATCTTCAAAGTAATATACATTAACACCTTTTAGGTAATTCTTTTTCATCTTTATACATGCTTGTACATATAGGTGTATTTGTTTATGGGTTAATAATCAAGGGCTGTTGGAGTTCTTGATGGTAGCCTGTGCCTGGCAAGAATCCCAATAGCTACATTCTTGATGGCCTGCTGACAATCTGTTGCAGCTCAGATGGGGATTCCAGCTGAGGTTTAATTTAGGGACTTAGCTACTGGCCATGGTGGAACTTCTAGCTAACTTCACACTAATTCCATGATGGATTTAGTAGTATAGACTAACCAAAGCAGCTGACAGTTGTCTTTAACACCATTTTCCCCTCAAATTTTAAGATGTCTTAGTTAGATTCTAAAAATGTTTTAATTGAGCAGACATGCTGCTGCCTTCTTTTCCCAGGGAAAGAATGCAACTTTCCTCTGATTCAGTACTGCTAAGAATTTTCTGGTCATTAATATTCTGGGGTGAGTATTTTCAGATACTGATAGCATGGCAGCGTGCAGCTCATGCAGAAGTTTTCAAACAGTAATTCTTTAGAGTGCTTCAGGATTCAAAGGAGAGGTCTTGAAGAAAAGCTTATCATCTGCAATGCAGCCAGTTGCATCTTGCTGTTTAACAGTCAGAAAGATGCAGCTCTGTTGTGAGCCTGAAAGGTGATGGGGAAATGAATTAAGTATAGCTTGAAGTATAAATTGTACCAAGTAGTGGATAGTGTACTTTTAAGACTTCTTTTGTCCTCATTGCCATATCAAAACAGAAAGAAATTTCTAGGAATGTGAGGATTTACAGTTCTGGAAATGATAAGTCAAACTAAGAGGCTGGGGATGCCTCAAGCTATTAATCTCTACATCTTTTCAGCATAATGTCACTTGCAGTAGCATTGCAGATATTGTCCTACTTGCCCTTTGAAGTTATCAGCGTCTTTGTTTTTGACCCACAGTGGGACCATGCGGTCCTGCACTCACCCCCCCACCCGGTGAGATGGGATGGGAGACACAAGAAAGGGGACACGGGATTAGGATGAAGGACAGGAACAGCTCACTCACCAGTTATGGTCATGGGCAAAACAGGCTCAAACTTGGGGAAGAAAAATCAATTTAGTTAGTTGCAAATCATCTAAGTAGACGTAACAACCACATCTTACAGCACCTTCCCCCACCTCTCCCTTCTTCCTGGGCTCAAATCACTTTGCTCCCGATGTCTCTACCTTTCCCCCCAGCGGCACAAGGGGACAGGGAATGGGGTTACAGTCAGTTCACCTCTGCCACTCGTCCTGGCATGGAAGTCCAGGAACAAGATGTTCCAAAGCAAGCTTCCCATGGAGTCATGGACCTCTTCAGGCTCAGCTCCTGGGTCCAGTATGGGGACATCCACAGGCTGCACCACTCACCTCCCACTCTGGGGCTTCACACCCGCTCTGGCAGTGAGTGACTCTTGGGGTCCCAATTCCAGTCACACTTGCCCTCAGGCTCAACTTTTCTGCTCCAGTGAGGAGTCCTTCATGGCCTACACATGGGTCTCTGCTCTGCTGTTGAACTTAACTTACATGGGCTGCAGAACCTCCTTTGCCTTTTCCTCCTCCATCAGGTGAACTGGGTGTCTTGAGGTCCTCTGCCCCCCTTCTCCTCTTTTCTCTGGCAACAATGCTCTCTTTCTGTCTGTCTGTCTTTTGGTTTTAGCTGATGGTTGTCTTTTGTTCAGGTCAATGGCCTGTCCTCCAGGTTCTCTTTACCTTCTTCTTTTCAGGACAGTCCTTCCCCTCACAAATATGGACTCACAGAGGAGTTTCTCTAGTGCTCATTGGCCCAGCCTGGGCTGGGGGGTCTCTGCCTTGGAGCCAGGGGAGCTTTTTGCTCTCACAAGGCGCCTCTTCCCCCTACTGCCAACAAAACGCTCCCCCCCCCACCCAGCACATATATCAATTTCTGGCACCAGCTGTGTTGGTTTTCTGTAGACAGTCAACCTCTTCTGTACAAGTTTTCCAGAACTGCTACAGATCCTGTGAACTCTCTGTCACAAATAGAATAGTAACTGTTTTTTCTAATGTAGTATTAGAACTGGGAGACTCAGGAAATTAATTTTGAGGAGACAGCATTATGACTATTACTTTCCAACAAGAAGAGCCTGCCTCTTCCTCTGGCTTTTTAAGAGGATGAAGCCTGCACATGAATACATTGCCAAGTAAGACAAACTGCTGCTAGTCCATGAGATGACACTTCTGATCAAATGTGTAGTAGGTAATCAGCAGGCATTCTGGCAATGAAGACATCCTTAGGGAAAACTTTGCAGAGAAAGTTCAAAACTTTTCATCAGATAAATGAGGTTCCTGTTATGTGGATTCTCCTTGTTTTCATTAACTTTCATAAACAATAACTCTTCATCTGTCTTTTTCCAGTGATTTTTATCTCAGTGGTTTCTGCGAATGTTGTTTATGCAACTTGTCTCAAATGTTTCATGTCTAAGTTCTTAATTTGCATTAATTTGTAAAAGTTTTTCTCCATTATCCTCATATCCCTAAGCTTATTTATTTATTTTGTGTATTTATTTACCTATAATATCTTCATTTTTGTTTATTTCTAGCTATTGTCATTAACCAGAAGAGTTAGACATCCCTTTATTGTTTGGTTTCTGTCCTTTTATTCAGGGTTGTATGTGTCTTGCAGCATGGTGGGGTTTGTTGTTTGCTTTTTTGGGGGAGTTAGGCTAACTGTTTATATCTATTTTAGGACTCTAGCAACAGGTATTCCTGAGTATGGCTTTTTAATAAACCCCAATAAGACAGTCGTGAATTTTCCTGTTGATGATATCCCAGGATGTTCCAAATTTAAACAGCTGCCAGATTGTCGTTTGATCCCATGGTGTGGTTTATTATTAGATATACAGACACTTGAGGTTTACTGCGATTACTCCAGGTAAATAAAGCCATATACTCCAGTGTCAGCGTTACAGTATATTGTACACAGTGTGAGAAGCACAAAGGTGTCTTGGGAATGGTGTAGTTGAATTACCTGCAAAATAGATTTCACAATTCTGTTTCTTATGCTGCAATTTAAACATTTTATTCTGCTGTGCAGCCTGCTATTGTCTTCATTCTGTCATGGTGTAATGTACGTACAATTAACATCATCAAATGCGGCACAGGTTGCTAGTGACCAGAAGTCATGTACCATATGGTGACTACGTGGTTCTGAGAAAGTTTATTGAGTCACCTCAGTTCAGCTTCTGTCACCATTATGCACTGTATTGTACCTGGTATCATATAACTACATTTATTCTGAAATTGTTATTTTTGTACCTTCCTAGAAGAAGCAGTAAGTATTACGTGAAATACAGATTTGGTTTAATTTTATATACACCAGAGGGACTAGTAATCCTTTGAACATCAGAGTTGTTCTCTCTGGTACACTTCAGATGGTAGCATAGGGGCTAAGTAATGTCTCTTTAAACCAGCAACCTTGGGTATATACATAGAGCAGTCTGAAGTGGCATAGAACTTGGGACAGGACAATGTATCCTGCTGAAAAGCTCTGTAGACCCTTTACAGGTATTCCTAGAGATGGCATTAGACATTTACTAAAGATTAACCAGAAGAAACTGTTCAAACTGAAGGATAATACTGCTGTGATATTGACCATACTTAGTATAAACAGCCCATGCATACACTGAAGTGGGAAATTAGGCGGAAGTTTTCCATCACCAGAGTGGTGACATTCTTCAGTAGTCTTCCAAAACAGCAAAGCTTGGTCACTTTAGGAAAGGAATTTATATGACGTGATTTTCTGTAACAACAAGAGGACTAAAATCAACAGCCAAAGAGGTTTATTCACTAGCTGTGTTTCCAAAAGAAACAGCTTACATTGATAAGGGCATTAGTGCTACTGGTGTGGGAGACCCTAATGAGAATCCTGAGGATGTTTGTCACGAGGGCTGCCTTGCTTTTGATAAACTTAAGTAACTACAACGCCAGAGTGAACTGAGGTGGCTATCACAGAGTATAGCCTGATTGTCATTGGAGTCATTAATGGTATGTTTAGACAAAGTGCTTTGGAAATACATCCAGTTTGTGCTTAAGATTATTAATTTGTTTTTTTTAGCAGGGTGAATTATTCAGCCCTCAGGTATTGAAGTTGTTCCTTAGCTAATAGCCTTAATGCCACAATATCCAGTTTTTTTCTAAATTGAATTTAGTTATCTTTTAGCTACTGGCTCATTGATTAGCAGGCAATCTCTGTAACACGAGAAGTTAAATGAGGCTTACTTTGCAGAATTTAATTTAGTCTGTTAGCCCATGGAGTTTGTTTAACTACTTTTTTTTTTCTTTTTTCCCAGTTATACTTGTACTTCTATCAGATCAAGTCTTTCCTTCAATTCAAGTAGAACAGCTGGGAAAAACATGAAATACAAATTGATTGCAGTCCTCAAACTGAAATGCCATTGTTTGTTTCTTGATTTACAGGTGGGAATATGGAAATGAATATTTGGAAATATTGTGATTAGTAATAAAGACCATTAAAACTGCTTTGAGTTCTATAAGAGTTGATTTTGAGAAGTAATACATATAACTTGGAAATGTTGACATCAACTAAAATGGGGGTCTCGGCTCCTTCACAGTATTGTTACTTAGATACATAACAGAACTGAGCCTTCACAATATTGTTACTTAGATACATAAAAGAAATCTTTGAAGTTTAGCATCAAATATTTTTTCCTCTAGATCTCTAAATCATCTTATGCAGTTGAACTTTACAAGTCATAGTATGACACTAAAATATTCCTATAACTCTCTTTCTATTCTGTTCTAGATCAACAGCCTTAGAACAGTTTTCATTAACATCTACAAGATATTTTTACTTCAGGCTTACAGGTAGGTCAGTGTCTTCTGCAGTAACTCTGAATATTTCATTACTCTTTCTTGACACATGGAGGAGCTACGGATTAGGAAAAAGTGTGCCATGAATGTGCAGTGGTAAATGTCAGTAGTAAGTGACGTTATTCTTGTTACAACACTGATCTTATGCAATACTATTAGATTCAGGATATAGGATTATACTGATGTGTTTGTTTAAGTGACACTTCACTAAATGGATTTTCATTTTCTCTGGATATTGACAGCTGACCTCAAGAAAAGCAGTCTGTTTTGCTGCAGGAGGATGACAAGAAGCCTTATCACTCATTAACAAGTTTATATTTAGAACTCTGTATCTATTAAAATCATATAGAACTTTGACCTGTATAACTTTGCCTTAAGTGAAGTTTCATTCTACCAAGTTAGTTGCAGTTTCCTGGCTGCTGCTGACTTAATTGCTCCTTAGCTGGTAATATCTTGTTTTTTGCGAGCTGTTCTTGACCAGCAGAGGAAGTGAATGTTTTCAACAAGGATAAAGGGAAAGAAATCAAAACTCATAAGCAAGCCTGGAGAAAATGCTAATCTCTGTGCCTTGAAAACTTTGAATGATTGGCAGCACCAAGTAATTGTTTGTTTATTGTTTTAATGCAACAAAGATGTGAGAGATGCTTTCCTCTTTATAGAAATCAGGTGTTACTCTTTTGCTAGGCTTATACTTGTTAGGAGGTGACTTTTCAGTTTTGTTCTTAAATTCAGCTTGGTCCACATTCACCCTGTGTCATCCTTGTGTCCAAGAATTGTAACTGGACTTGTCTAGTCCAGCACTGTTGAGTAAAACTCTTAAACTTTGTGTTGTTACATGACTTAGTTTTTCTCTGATGTTGGACATGACTGCTTAGTTACTTCTGTTTGTTTTTATGGTAACACTCTAATAAAGGTCTTTACGTTAGAGTACCTTTAAAAAACTGTCCACCATGCTAACAGCATGTCAGATTTATTCAGCTGGAGCTCTGTGATGCAGTGTGGTATTTATGTTTATCCTTTAAATATTTTAAAATTGCACAATTTATTGAAGTGATTATGCTGGGTTAGTTTAATAAACAATATATATTGTTGAGTAATTAAAATTCAGCATAGTAATTGTTGACTATATTCAGCATAAGCAAGATTATAATGCCAGTCGGGGGGATGGGGGGGAACACCAGCAATTTTAAAATATGTCCAAACAGGGGAACAGAGGTGGAGAGTGTACAAGTAACTTCCATAGTACTGGCTTCCAAACAGACAAAAGAGTGGGGATTCTGATCTGTGGAACACTACATCATTTGAAGGTCTGTTTTCCTGAAAAACAGAATTTGTTGTAGGGTTTTGTTTTGTTTTTTCTTCCTTCTGCACTATCATATGGGTGTCTCTGGCTGTATGGTCTGTGATATGGAATGGGTGAGGATGTGTAGTTTAACTTTCCCCACACATAAGATAGTTGTCATCATCAGAAGAGAATTCTATTACCAAGGCAGATGGCTTCAAGATCTTTCAGCACAAAATTTACAAACAAACATCATATGTGTCTGACACTCCTGGGATGTGTCTATATAGGAGAGGTGTGGTATGCTAACAGTGTTGATATAGCTAAAGACTGTTGGGTGCTTTTAAATATTGCATAGTGCCTATGGTATGTAATCTTAGTTTCACTTGAAATTGCAAATGACTTGTGATTAAATAGGCTGTTTTTGTCAACAGGTTCCACGCATGTGTTCTCCAACTTCCGTTCAACCAGCAAGTTAGAAATAATCCTGATTTCTTCCTCAGGATCATCTCTGAGACTGCATCATGCTGTTATGCTATCCTGAAAGCAAAAAACGCAGGTATAGTATGTTAATGGCTGTGAAGCAGCATGTTTGGGTTTGGTTTTTGGTTTTGTTTTGGTTTTGGGGTTTTGGTTTTTTTTTTTTAGACAAATAAAATGTTTTGAATGTGCAGTCAGACCATCTAATTTTGAGATCAAGAATGGAAAACACAGTGTGTATGATAGGCAACACAGTGTGTGTGATAGGCATCACAGTGCATGTTTTTTTTCTTAAACTCAATTTTCTGAAGATACTAAAATAATTCAGGTTTTACTTTTTAGTTCTCTGCTGACATAGGAGGCTTCATTGACTAAATAAGTTTTTAGTAAAAAAATCTTGGAGTGATTTTATACAAAGAGAGGAGAAATCAGACTTACTTCTTAATGCTCATAATTTTCAGTGACATTATTTTCATGTTCTGTTTCTAGGGGTTGCTTTAGGTAGCAAAGGTGCATCTGGCATGTTCCCTTTTGAGGCAGCAGAATGGCTCTGCTACCACGCCTTCACTGTCAAACTGGCAAACCACAAAGTTGTTTACAAATGTCTACTTAAACCCCTAAAAATCTGTAAGTATTCCATTATTTTTACAGTTTGAAATAAGGTTAATTGTAATAAAACTTGGAATCTAATGGATTTTTAAAGTTTTCTTATCATAAAATGTTGTTCTAAAATGTACATTAATGAGCTTTCTGATGTTAATCATATTTATTAAGTTGGCAAATTCAAATGGTATGTTTTTCAGCACTGCATGTTCTAGAGCCTTGTTCTTACAGGACAGTTGTTGATACTTGGCACTCAATAAGTTTGTACAATTCAGAAAACTTAATAAGATTGGGTTAATCATATAAGCATTCTCAGCAGGTTTAACTAAATGAAATATGATTGCTCAGTTTTCTATTTAAAAAAAATGTAGATTAACTGGTAACTAAATAAGTTCCTCTTACAAAAAAAAAATGTCACCGGGGTCACTTTGAAACAGAAGCACTTGCTGTGCTGCATGTGCTTCATTGTAATAGAGTTGAGTGGTGGTGGCAAATCTCTGACTCTTCTACTCAGTGAAAGAATCTGTGCGTGTACTTGGTTTCTGGGGAGCTCTCTCTTTGACCAGTTGTGTGGTCTGTCCCCAGGCCAGCCACAGAAATAATAGAATTTTCAATTTTAAGATACTAAAAGTGAACAGCAGTAGGTTTTTCTGAAGCAGCCAGTACTGTTGTTGAATTTAGCTGCAGTCAAGGCCAGACTCTCAACTGACTGTGTAATTCATGCTCTGAATGAGTCAGTCTGTTTCCAGAATAACCCCTATTTGATTTGAAATGTATCACAAGCTTTCCCTTGACACCTGTGCTGAGGCCCAGAGCCCCAAAAAGAGAGCAGTTCTGCTTTTGGGAGTAATCATTTCCTTCCCATATCAAAGGCTTGCAGCAGCACCTGAGTGCAGACACTCTGAGTTTTGGTGATGCAGTGTGAATGTATTAAAGATGAGAAACAGTTACAGGAAAGAGACTGGTGGTTGGGATTGTATCAGCTGTGTTCCCGACAGATATGGACTCCTGCATGAAGTAGAACTCCAGCAGCCTTTCCCAAAGAAGCTCCTTCCATTAGAGTTACTCACTGACATCAAAACCAGAGGCACCATGTCTTATCACTGCTGCTGAGAAGCAGCCAGTTCTGTTCAGCCCGCCAGCAGCCTTTCCCAAAGAAGCTCCTTCCATCAGAGTTACTCGCTGACACCAAAACCAGAGGCACCATGTCTGATCACTGCTGCTGAGAAGCACCCAGTTCTGTTCAGCCCTTCTAAAAGTACCAGGGGAAGCAGGCCTGCCT